GTGTAAGTCGGTTGTTTTAACACACAATAGACGTTTTCTATTCTCATCGTGACTAATTTATTTGGTGTGACGCTACCTGTAAGGGTGTGAGGCTACCTGTAAGGATGTGACGCTACCTGTAAGGATGTGACGCTACCTGTAAGGATGTGACGCTACCTGTAAGGATGTGACGCTACCTGTAAGGATGTGACGCTACCTGTAAGGATGTGACGCTACCTGTAAGGATGTGACGCTACCTGTAAGGGTGTAACATTCTCCTGTAAGGGTGTAACATTCTCCTGTAGGGGCATAACATTACCTGTAGGGGGATGACGTTTCCTGTAGGGACGTGAACCCCCCCCATGACTAGTGAGTTATGCACCACCTTCAGCTCCCACAACAGGACAGAAGCGCCGCACAAACCATAACTGACATCACTTCATTATTGTTCCTACAGTAGTTCTCTGTCACCCCTGCTGACCCTGCCACACCCTGCTATCTCTGTGGGCTGTCACCTGTGTGTGTGTGTGTGCCCCTCAGAGCGGCTCACATTACACACCAACATTATAAGTCTAAAAGAAGACCAGTACGCTGACACCAACCGTCTTCATTAAATATAATATAAAGATTACCGCAACAAAAGAAGACAATTTGTAATATAATCTAGTATGCAAGATGAGAGGGACCGAAGGGGAGAAATGGGGGGGTGAAGAGGCAGGCGAGGAAGAGGAAATCACCAAGAAATGGGGTATAGAGGAGGGGGAGGGAGGGAAACAATGCCACGCTACAGTGCCCGCATATACAATTTTCCAGGACAGCGTCTTTTTCACATCGTGTGGTAATTTGATTGAAAATGTCCCCCATAAAGAGCAGTTTAGGTGTAAGGCGGCGGGGCCCTCTTTTGGTTATCGCAACACGGGCGGCGACACACACACGTTATGGCGGCTGGCGGGAGTAAACGCTTCAACACACCTCCGTCTGTTGTGTTGATAACGCTATGCTCACTTCCGGTTCCTGGCAAGACTTGATAACTTATGATTACTTTATGCCGTATTAAAACAAATTCAAGAGGCAACAAATTAAACTGGAATGGGTTAAATTAAAATGATTTACGTTAGATTATAATTACCCCGGACTAATTACCAATTTCTGGAAACCCTTCGTATACGCTGCATTTATCATAACTATATTTTCGTACTGTATTTTCGAGTTCGATAGAGAGTTAAATTGTATGAAATTATTTGCGATTAGATTAGTGTTATCAACTCAAAAGGTCGGGGTCTTTTTGTCTGGCAGGGAAATAATAACGGGCGGCAGGGTCCAGTAGCCCCCCCCGCCCCACCCCCCCCTTACGTGATTGCCTCCATTCACCGCCCAAACTTTATGTCCGATTCTGATTTGATGGCGAATTTTTGACAACGTATTGGTCATCCCATTCCGAAAAGATGTGTCTAGTTGTTAAGGGGAAGTTGGGTAGTCCCTTCCCATTTTTATACGATGGCCAACTGCTCATGCGACATACTATTAAAAGCACATTTGTCGTCATGGGAACTAACACTCGACCTTACTGTATATAGCCGTGGATAGTTTAATAGCGCTAACACCTAACTAAGAATAACAGGTCCTTTACGTAAATCTGAATGAAGCTTAAACCGGGATTTCGTATTCAAATAACAGTAAATTTTGTGAGGTATTTCTTGTAATGTTCCAATAATTCCCTGGTTCACTGGCCCCATGTTAGGTTAAGTCAGACCTTCTTCAAATCAATAAATCTTTGTACTGTGCTAACATTCAACCATACTAACACGTTTACAAAATATTACATTAAACTTCATCACATGCTGGGTGTATTGCTAACAGTCCCGATAAGTCCCCGTAGAAGCATAAATTTCCACGTCTCCCCATTTCAAAATTCCGTTGCTACACAAATCTCATTACACCACAACCCACATGCCATCAGGTTATTTAAAAGTCTCTGTTACGTGGCAGATTTAGCTTCAGCGAATCATCCAAATTTGTATGATAAATGAGTAAATGAATCCCGATTATGCAACACGGTTTAGAAATTAGATAACAGCGAACACTAATGACCATATATTAAGAGTTTTGAGAAATAACAAAACAAGAAATCTGATTGAGAACTTTGATATTCAGTTTATATATCTAAATGTACAATTATTTTCACTGATACGTTAGATAAGCCGTGTGTTTATCTTCTAAAATAGACTGGAGGTAAGCGGGTCATGCAGTCAGTAGCCTACCACTTAATTCATTACGGATGGAAAGTAGTTAACACTATCAAATTTATTCCATTACTAACTCCATGGTACAAAATACCCGCATTAAACTTTACACCAGACTGGAGTTTCGTGATTCCGGCCACAATGAAGTAATTCAACTATACAAGAGTTTTCATAATATTTCAAAGTGGAAATGCATTCTGGTTTATGACTGTGGCTGTCAAAAATACAACAGCAATACGTAATGGTATATAATTTGGTTTATTTAAAGATTAATTCCCTAGGTTATGCCACTTTATACTTAACCACCCTAATGCTAACCCCCCCCAGGTAGCGTTAAGATGTTTAATTAGGTGAAATAAACTGGGGTGCTAATCTTCATATGATACTCTCAACGAACACAGGAACCACTATCCAAGCATCGTTAGGAATCATTATTATTATTATTACCCCGTTATTATTATTATATCTTTCTTTTGTGTACTTTTATTTACAGCTTCATGTTGGAATTGTGAAATAAAAAAGTTTTCTGCCTCGTAAATAGCTTCCGTCATGCAGGTTGGCGGCAAGTGAACTGCTGCCTCCACACGCCCAACCAAATTAACATGTTAAACTATCTCTATGCTGTCCGATTTAACACGGATGTAGCACAGAGTTGTCATTTTGGTTCATGTCTGCTAAAATAAGACCAATTTTAACATTAGTATAATTAGTCGATGGAAAATAAATACACTTTCGTTATTTGTACATTTTTAACACAATAAAGTAATAATAGTCAAGTATCTTATTGCTATCCCAACCAAACCTAATCTGAAGCTATCTTATCCCAACCAAAGCTATCTTATCCCAACCAAAGCTATCTTATCCCAACCAAACCTAATCTAACACTATCCTATCCCAACCAAACCTAACCTAACACTATCCTATCCCAACCAAACCTAACCTAACCTAACCTAACCTAACCTAACCAAACCTTTACCTTGAGCAGGAGGAACACGTGTGGAGGCTGGCGTAGATAATCCCATCTTCCCACATGCAGAAATAGTAAATAATTCCTTTTTATTTCGAATCACTTCACTGTAGTCACCCAAGCACAGTGTGAGAGTAGTGGTGGCCTCTACACAACTCTCCTTGGCACCAGTAATTAAGGAAACACTAAACACCATAAAATAATCAACTATGATGATGATGAACTTCGCCATTAATGCGCCCGATTATAAATGAATGACTCGTTTAATCTTGTTATAGTTTCCAATCCTAAATCCTTTGTCTCAGTCTATAAACCTAGTCTCCCATTTTCTGTAAGATATTTAATTTATTATTTTAAATTATATATATTTTTTTACTTTATTTCTATTTATTACTTAAGGTTTATTATATCTCTTCACTGGGAAATTCGAGATAACAAAACCGCATCGTTTGAGAGTATTTAATGTTTCAAAGCTACACCTCAGAAGGTATTTAACCCCCTATTGTATTCAATCTTATTCCAAATACATAAGATTCTAGCATTTATTGCATTATATCCCAGCACACCTCGTGGCCATTATCACCTTCAGAGATTAGTTCAGTAAACCAATGGATTTATAATTTATTTTTGTAACTTAAATTTTTTTATATATAAATGTTCGAATGTTTTAGAAGTCTTACTCCACATTATTTGTTTTAACCTCACTTTTACAGCCTTGACCACTAACAAGATTTACGTTGATATTCTTAGGTATTTATTATACTGTTTGTTAATGAATAATAGCATGATGATTGTTAATTTTTAAAATAAAATTCGTGTTAGTGCTGGACCTTAAACAATATGACAAGTGGTATTCCTATCACGGTAATACTGTAATCATTCTATTGAGATCACATGTAAATGAACGTTTCTCCTTAAAAATGTTTTGTGTAAATTAATTTAATATATTATCGCAACAAAATAATGTAAAGAAAACTTGAATAATGTTAAAGTTTATCAATTCATTTAATAATACGACTGACATAATGGCTTCATTTCATCACCAATTAGGCTTAACAGGAATGTTTGGACTCGGTTTTTTTGTAGATATTTTATTAACATTCTTGTAGCCTTCTTCATTGTGATAAACTGTGCATTATACTCTCAATGAATGCTTAACCCTTTGAAGACAATACTTAACCCCTTAAAGATAACAATTTAACCTTTTCAGGACATATCTAACCCTTTGAGTACAATGGTCTAACCTTTATAGAGATGATGGTTTAACTTTTGAAGGCACTGGTTTGACCTTCTCGTCCTCAAAGTTCAAGTGGAATCTCAAGAGTATCTGTCCGACTTCCATTGTCTGACATTTCATTTTAATAGATTTTGTTTTATTTCAAAGTTAATATCACATTAGTGTACTCACAAACTTGAGGTTATACTACAAGTACTGTATAGTTAAAGTCAATATTTCTCTTCATATCAACATAATTACATGTGTAAATATCTAATTACTCCTGTTTAAAACCTGAACTTGAATAAAATGCTAAATAAGGAAATAGATGACATTATAATAATCATAAAATGAGGGTCCTTATATATTACTCTTTCAAGCATGTAAACCTGATATAATAAACAAAAACTTACATCAATCCCCTCCCACTCTGGTGAGCAATTTTCAGTGTACCACCTCCTCCCACACTCAACCATCCCCCCCTCGCCACTCCACACGACATACAGTAGTACATCAGAGAAAGAACCCAGCCAGGCACAGAGGCTTGGGTGATGGAGTGAAACCTTTACCACAGTTGGAGGAGAAATACAACAACTTCATTAGTCTTTCCTTTAATTCGACAATCATATTTGAGTATAAGTGACGGCCGGCAGCAAGCATAGTCTGTCGTGACGGCTCCACCGGTGAACCATACATCAAATGTCCCTCACTCAAAAGAGTTATAACCGGGACTGAGTGTTGCTGCCGGCCTCAGTAGATCACAGCTGTTGACCAGTGCTCCACATTGTAATAGTTATATTTGGTATATCAGTGGTTAAAGTCATCCCTAAAATGACAAACATTTTCTATGATTGTGTTTATGGATATAGATATATGTGTGTTTATATATCATACTCTAGTACTATTTTACCCAAATGATAATAGAAGTGAAAGAAGTTTAAGCATAATATCAAAATAAAAGCATTCTTATGATCTGTATGAGGATAACCCCCATTATTTGATGCAAACCTTGAAGGTTATGCACAGAGAAGGATGAAAACAAACAATGTTCAGTGGCAGTTTATCACAACTCTGCATATTTTGTACCATTAATGTTCATATTAAAAACTTTAAGTACGGTAACCTAACAATATATTCCTTAAGTGTCGGGCATTAGAACCGTTAAGATCATCACAACAACGTACTGGTCTATCAACTCGTCTCAAGTATAATTTGGTATAAGGCATCACTGACTAGTATTAATGTCCGGCGTCTCACAGTACCTGTATGTACGGTAGTATTATTCATTAATTCAAATAAGCTCAAGATTTGGAGAAATATGAAGTTTTATCTGGAAATCATAATGGTGTAGGTATAGGGAGAAACAAAATAAGACTCAAATCTTACATGTTATAGCAAGCCAATATTTGTATGTTGTCAAAAGTAGGTAGAAATCAAGGCAACATATGACTAACATTCAAGATTACTTAATTTAGTTTACACTATTTTATCACACGACAAACTGATCAGTGGGATATATTATGTAATGTTTACCAATTGTATGATATATCCTCATTTATTTTGATATTACTGATGAAGGAACTAAAACAGGATGTTGAAAGAGGACTTACCTAAGTTTTATGAATCTTCTAAAGTGGATCTATATAATGGACAAATAAATAAATCTTCTCTCCTGATTTTTTTTAGAGAGAAAAACACATTTATAAAAAGTCTTTCATTGAAGGTTTTAATAAGAACATTTTATTTATAAAATGAGTTTAAAAGCTGCATCATGAAAATATAAATATATTCACTCAAGAAGACAGGATTTGAAGAAACATTATATTTATGATGAGTAAAGATAAAAAATAAGGTATATTAGTGGACAGAGCTTCTGACCACCATTACCAACAACTACTATATGGTTCTCACTGCCTCACATCCAGTACCCACACACAATGAGCCTAGTGTGTCCATACATACTTGTTTATGAAATATTTTATACCCTCACTAATTGGAACCAAGACAGCTAAAATCTCACTTTGTGTCGGCTCCAGCAAGGGTCAAGGTAATATATTTCTCCTATACAACTGTGAATCATTTCAAAATGTATAAAACTTAATGTTATATGATAATGATGATCTGTTAATCTGTGGTAAGGCATCAACAACTGGAGTCCTTTACTACCACAAATAAACATGATACTCGAGTGTTTAAGTTCTCAAAACCTGACCATAAAACACTAGTGATAAACAGGGCAGTGAAACAGCTGTGGTGGTTTTAACAACAATTGTCCATAACTCTGGAACAGTGGACAAAAACTCTTCATAAACGACTGTGTTTCAGGAGTTCTTGTTGATGATCCAAGGGGACAAAATAGTTCTGAAGAAATGGACAGCAAAAACCTACTCGGCATCGACGAATGAGTTACAAACATTCCAGTGTATGTTTACGTTTGCTTCGCATTAGGGGTACGAGGGCCTCATCATCACGTATTGACTTGATGCCGGATATGTTGGCCCGTGTGAGCCACAGCTGTAAAATCGCTTCTTTTAAGTCTATCAACCTTCTGTACATCCCAGGGTTTGTCAGTGAAATTATATTAAACTGAAATGTTCAATATACTATTACGGGCATAAACTGACAAATTACTTTAACGAAATTTGCATTATAATTCAAATTCGTGAATGACGAGTTTAGTGTCAGTAAACTATTGCACCTTCAGAAACTTAATTATCTTTTTATGTAAAGCGGGAAACCATTTTAAAAGAACCTTAGATTATTCCTGTTCTGTTGTATAATAAATATGATTCTCAGGTTCAAAATAAAATGTGTTCTTCTTTAAGACAGTTGATTGTTAAAGCTACCATGACACCACAACAAAAGAAGACCAAAAGGACATGAAAATAATGAACAGAATTATAATATCTCCACTATGTAACACCTCAACTCAAAATCTGATTAACAAACCTAAAATCTGGTAGATACTTGTTGACACCAGCAGAGTTACCTTACTAACCTGTAAATCTGTATTAAAAAATATTTATGTACAATCAATTCTTGTACTTTAAACAATAAACCAGAGGATTAAGATTCAGATCAAGGTTAAAACAATGATTAATTGCATTGATTGTATGAGGAATTTTGACATTGGTGATTTATGACTGAATAGGACCTGGAAGCTGAGTTTTGTAGTACTGTAGCTCCTGTGTGTTATAAAATGTGCCTCAGTGTTATGAATCAGTGTGTGAATTGGTGCACATCTTCCATCCCTTAATAAGTTGGGCAGGGAGTAAAGCTGATGGGAATAAAGCTAAGTAGATGTTCCTAATAATCCCCCCACCCCACCCCCCAGCTTGTCTATTAAAGCTGTGAAACCAATAAAAAAAAATCGCCTCGGCCATATGATTGTCGTTCAATTTTACCACAAACATGATGGGTGACCAGAAGTAAAACTCTCGTTACGATCCCTGGCAGCAGAAGCTATACTGTACACTCAAGGCAGTGTGACCTATACACACGTTATTAATCTTCACTAAATTATCTGATATTGTATACAAGGTAAATACCATGTAATGTATTCTGGTATATTTCTTAAAGTCCTTGAGAAACATCTGATACAATAGTCTTACTTATTACATGTTAATAAGACGACATTTTAGATACAATACACGTATCACCTTTAGAATATCCACCCCAGCTTATTTCACCTAAATATTAACCACCCTAAACCTAACCTAACCTCATCCCCCAAATAGTGTTAGGATGGTTACTCTTTAAGTGAAATAACCTGGGATGGGGGAGATTATTCAGGTGATCTCAATACATGAAAAAAAAGAAAAAAAAAAAGAAAAACAAGAAGTGAAGACATTATATAACTGAGAGTTTTGTGAAGGATATTACATGTGCCAACCAACCTGGATTAACAGGAGCTCGGTGTACGTTGACTTGGTTGGTGGTAGTGGTGTGAGGAGTTGTTGACATTCTACTTTGTATTAGGTACAGTACTACAATAATCAGATGACACTCGCGGCTGTCAGCCTTACTCGACCATCCCCCCCAACCCTCTCTTCATCCCAGAATCAATACAATAATTCTAAATTCTTAATAAATATAATCTTATGTCACTAATTAATACTTTAACCTTGATTCTCATCTTAAGAAACATATTGTAGTCTGGAGTCTTGACATTTACTAACAAGATTAAAGATTTTGATTCATATGTATTGAGTCTTGGTACGTGGGGAGAGTTCTACAGTGTTTGGGTTATAAACTAATGATAAACTCCATAATAACACTCAGTTCCCATTAGCCTTCCTTACTGAAAACAAAACCCACTTTGCAGCCCACACATATAAAAAATAAAATCCTATGTTCCTTAGTTACAGAAGCTGGACATAAATTAACTGTTGATAAAAGCGTCGGTGATCACGAAGGCATGTTTCTGTCTCATTGGTCAAATTTCTCTGCATAGTCATTGATTTCATATACATCATAAGCATGTGGAACTCTCTTGCTATCACCTCCTGAGATCAACATAAAAATACCTGGAATGTATCAGTGCAAATAAAATTATCTCCATACATGTAAAAAAAAAGAAAGAAAAAAAAAAAGACCGTGTAAAACTTTGAAAGGTGGATAATACAGTGTGAAGATCTTAAGCTAATGTCACCAGTCCCATGTCCCAGAAGAAACAAGATCATTAATGATTATAAATCTTTCATACATGATTCCCTGAATATATTCACCTAAGCTCTCTGTCTTATACTATTTACACAAGAATTCTTCATTACAAAGCACCTTATGTTGCTGTATAGGATCAAAATTGCATTGACCATTTGACATAACAAAAGAGGAATTAAAGAGACTGTACACGACGGAAAAATCAAGCAGGTTGTACAATTAATAATAAATAAGTGAGTGAAGAAAAATCTATACCCCTCTTCGTATGCACAAAGTGTCAAGCCTCGGTATTAACGGTGAAGTGCTCTTATAGATGATTTCATGTTATTTATGGTCAGTATTTCAGTGCCCTCAGTTCACTCATATTTCTACACGCGCAACAGATGAAGGGAACGAAAGGCAGCCGGTTGATCGTCTTAAGTTAAATGCCTATTAAAAAACCAGCTAAAACCCATCATGAACCTAGTGTTAGGTCCTTGTACACCTAAGTGGAACACAATATAGAACAGAGCTTAAAATATTCCTTACATACACTGTACTGACAAATAGATCAAAGGCATAACGGATGATTGCATAATTCTAAAGAAGCCTTCGGATGTCAATGCAACGAGAGTTAACCAATCGTGTCCTTTGGAGAAACAATAATTCAGACTAGTACCTTATTCAATACCTGAGGGTTGTTTCATATTTTGTTCCAGAATTATGGACTATCAAGTTCATCCCATATTGAATCAAATGAATCAGGCATGGCTAACTCTATGTCCTCACCACCATTATCATCATACCACTCTCCATCATCACAGTCGGATAACTCCATACTCATATATTTCAGTTCTAGGTCAAGGGAGGTATCTTTCCATAAAGGTCTATAAGTCTTTCTCTCACCTTCAGCCACATCATCCCACTCACACAAAGATTCATCAGATTCCACATCTCTACTGTCAGTTATGCCTTGTAGATTTTCTTCTCCTTTATTTCTAGCATCAAGTTTTCCTCTAAAATCAGAGACCATATTCTGTTTCTTGGAGCCGGCACCATCACCTTCCTTTGTCTTCTCTGAGTTAGAATCTTGGTACTCCTTTGTATCTGCACTGTTGGAGTCAATAATTTCCTTCAAGTTCTCATAGTCAGAATATATATTTTCCTTAGTGTTTTCATAGTCAGAATCATAGTATTCATTTATCTTCTCAGACTTGGAGTCACTAAGATGCTCGCTTTCCTCAGAGTCTAATTTCCTCGTATTGTCGTAGTCGGAGTCGGTGACGTCCCCCAAGTTCTCAAATCTACAGTACTTTGCTAAAGCCGACGACAAGTTGATACTGCCGTCAGAACTCTGCTCGGAGAGGGTGTCGCTGCTGCTCAAGTTATCATAATATGTAACTGTTGGGAAAAGTGAATATTTATTGATATATTTACAGACTATATTAAATTTTCTGTAAAAAATCTGATCTACCAAAACAGCAAAGTAATGCTCGTTATTCTATAAAACAATCAACACAATGATTCTTTCTATATTTAAAGAAGTACAGTGCAAGTAAACTCTTCCCAAACATTTAAATATTTAACTACTATTATTTAGAATCCTGAAATGTTACAAATCCAAGCTAGAACATGACTGATTCAAAATTTTATAATATTTCAGCTACAGATCATTCCCAGACCTTAACTTTACCGAAGACCAAACTGAAAAACACACAATCATAACTAACACCCCATCTCCCCCCCCCACAAACTTCTCAACCATTAATCATCTCTTAACACCTTCAAAGACTCACTGACATAATAACACCACCACATGGAATCACATTACCTATATTTATACCAAAAATCTATACCTGTAGCATTTGTTTCACTCTCAGCAAGTTCATCTCTGTGTGACTGAAATCAAGACCAACACAGACTCTCTCTCATTCATGTTCTGGATGCCTTACCACATGTATCCTGCCTCGGTTCTTCCACAAGGTGCGATTATTCTCCTTCCATGCTTCTTCTCGTTATAATGTAGGTGACTGTAATTTTAAACACACCACCACATACCCACCCACAAACCATGCACTCACACACCCATAACCCATGCACACACCATACACACCCACAAACCATCCACACACACCCACAAACCATCCACACACACACACCATATTCCCTCACACAAAGGAGGTGGAAATGTCACGTTTCCTCTCGATTTAGGTCCACCAGTAAATACCAATTTCATCACTAAAACTCCCGGTCGCTTAAGATCTTCCCCACACAGATGTATTGTAAGGGATTCTGTATGATCTCTGACTACTCCCTATTATACTACACTACACACTATAACCCAGGTCTCAGAGAGGTTATAAGCTTTCTGCAAATATTATTCATCTTGTACCATGTAATGTCTGGTATGCCTCCTCACTTAGTCCTGTTTAACACACCTTACATAGTGATATGGTCAAAATTGTAGAAAAATCACAAATTACCTGAAAATAGATTAAAATGTTGATCGCAAAAGATTATCATAACAAAGGCCACACCGTAATTACATTTAATCTTACCCCCTTGTGTATGGGATCCCCTCTGCGTTGAATGAAATTATCGGTCATTAGCCAAATAAAATATTAAAAGTGGCGTCCCCGTAACGAAGGAGTTAAATTCCACGGCCCAATTCATTTCACATTAACACAAATCCTCCACAAGTCAGATATAAAATCAAAATAACATGCAAGTGAACATAACAATCAGCATGCTAGCAAGAGATAAAAAAGTCAGCTTAACTTTATTTACAAGACCATCCATTGGAAAACTGTACAGTGGGCAAAAGAAAACCAAACTCCAAGCTACCCATGGTCAGCCATAACAGCCATGTGTGTGTGTGTGTGTGAGTAACCCAGTAGGAGTATATACCTAACACTAGCCCTCAAGTCATTTCTATTCACATGTGTCATGGCTGCAACTTTAAAATACTGCTATTACACAGGAATTAATATACAGTCATGAAGAAAAAATACTGTCACTTCTCTCACTCCCCCACGAACCCCGAGATTCAGACCCGTGAACCCGAAGCACTAGACACATGCATTATTCAGCCCATAAATGTTCTGGATTCACGAGTCTGAATCTTGGGAATCGTGAAGCAGCGCAAAACCGAAAAGAATTTTGTTCGCGGCTGTAGCTATACCTTAAGCTTCTACCCTTACCTGTGTATACATTACTGTATACACTGCTAATGTGTTTGAAATTCTATATCCCATCTACCTCCTAAAGTTCCGAAGTGGTAAACAACAATAATAAAACCTGGTAATGATTCTTCAGTTACATGGTTGTCTGAGGATGACTTATTTATATCTTAAAAAGTGACAAACAACAACAACAAGTATGCCTTATTATACATGTTAACTGTCTTAGTTATATTTAGTACCATACATCTACACTATTTAAACCACACTTTAATTAATTCCCTTGAAGTCATAACCAATTATATATTTCTTAGAGAATATTTAATTAGCAGACAAATCTAATTACCAGACAAATTTACTTACAAAACAAATCTAATTATGAAACAAATCTAATTATCCAACAAATTAATTAACAAACCATGCTACAGTATTAACTATCAGCCATCACGACAAATAATTTCCCCTCTTGATAAAATGAACCTTTGCACAATGGTTTAATGAGTGAGAGTAATAAGCAAGGTTAGTGGGTGATACTATCTAGTGAGTTCACCTGTCTTATGCGAGGCTGTGGGGGAGTACAATGACCTCAATGGTTGGGTTTAGTACATAGTGAGGAAGGGAGGGAGGGAAGGAAGGAAGGAAGGAGGAAGGAAGGAAGGAAGGAAGAAGAATGAAAGGAAGAGAGAAAGAATCATGACATCATTACCTACAAGAAAAGTCACAAATTTTACACCGAAAAGAAAATGAAGTTAAAAGGAATCCTGACTGAGAAGAAATAGTTCCTCCACCCACCCCCCACAAAAAATAAAACACGCACACCCACACGATATTCAGTACAGTGTATAAACAGTGGACTCGAGTGGGATCCCCAAACAGTGACAGTGGACTCGAGTGGGATCTCCAAACAGTGACAGGGGACTCGAGTGGGATCTCCAAACAGTGGACTCGAGTGGGATCCCCAAACAGTGACAGTGGACTCGAGTGGGATCCCCAAACAGTGACAGACTCGAGTGGGATCCCAAACAGTGGACTCGAGTGGGATCCCCAAACAGTGACAGTGGACTCGAGTGGGATCCCCAAACAGTGGACTCGAGTGGGATCCCCAAACAGTGGCTACAGCACAATGCATCTAGTACATACATACCTCACTAGAGTGGCACCTGGGCTCGGCTACAGATCTCCTACGTATGGGAAAATAAAGGGTTCATTGGCAGGTTTCTGAAGAGCTATTAAAATTTTTTAGTCACCAAATGTCTCAAAGAGGGTAAGAAAAAACAAACAAAACACTAAATCTATGTTCTTGAAAGCCAAAAATACAAAATAGTACTAGATTATTGTATTGTCAAAAATGCAAACATAAAACTCATTTGGTGATTAAATATTGTGGTCTTAAAAGCTACTGACTGATTGATCATTTTCAAAATCTTACTCCAACAAAGAGGTAAGCTGAGGACATGAGAAAGAGAGAGCAGAACACACACATACACACATCATCACACTTTGCTCTATCTTCTATAACTTTATGTGAGTAAGATTTAGAAAACTCATATCAGGTATCTATGAATTCACTTGTATTGGTTAAAATTCTATTCTAAATATTAATGTAAAAAAAATTAATAAATAAGGAAAAGGGATATTAATCTAAAATCTACTATGAAATTGGTATATACTCATTAACTGTAAAAGTGTACAATGGGAAAACTACTTCTATCTTGACATATCTTCTGCCATCTGATATCAGGGCATCGTTTATGGACAATAAAAACGTGCAAATGGCACCTTGTCACAAAAGGTTTCAAGAGTAATTTAAGAGGTGACTAACTAGCAGGGTGTGTTGCCGTGTGAACGAGCTATTTACAGGCATAGCGTATATAAGGCTCGGGAGTTTGACTATGCCTCCGTATAATTACAAGATCTGTATAAAAGTGTTGGTTCACCCGAGATAAACAATTGACAGATATATGATCCTGTTTCTCAATGACTTTAGGAGAAATAAATTTATCCAAGACGATGAAGAAATGACAAGAAACTGACCTTCGTATTAATGATGATGATACTACCCCCTTCATGATAATTAACTACACCTCACTACTGTACCTTCATACTAATTAACTACACCTTACTACCCCCTTCATACTAATTAACTACACCTCACTACTGTACCTTCATACTAATTAACTATACCTTACTACCCCCTTCATACTAATTAACTACACCTCACTAATGTACCTTCATACTAATTAACTACACCTCACTACCATCCTCACACTAATTAACTATACTGCCATCTTCAAACTAGATAGCCACCACCTTCACAATGGCCAATAAATCTCACTTATCTCTTTCCATGATGCCACTCCCTTAGTAAAAGCAGAACTGTACTGTAAAAACTTCCAACAGATACTTCAAGTTACATTTACCAAGGATTTTCCAAGTCATACCTTGAATTATGTTAAGGATCACTTCCCTGCTTGTTCTGTGTCTACCATCATAATAAGGCAGTTACCTATGTGGCTTATTGAGATGGTCATTCCGGTGATGTGTGTGAAGTGGGGGGGGCAATTAAACCAGATGGGTATCTTTAGGGGAGGAAAACACCGTAGAAGCTGAATACATCCGCTATGTCGGTGAGAGAGAATGCGTGACATCAAAGATCAAGCATGTGTTACTTTTGGGTCCAGCCATCTTGCATTAAAGCATTAGTTTGCAAATGCTAGAAATATTAAAAAAAACATTACTATCTTCCCCATTCTTGCATACTCTTTCCCCACATGGCATTGGGTGGCTGGAGGTATGAGCCACAAAGACTTATTTGGGTGTTTGGGTTGTGTGGCTGACTCCCTCGGTGTATTCTGCTTTAGTTGCCTCCGTCCACAGTAAGATTCCCCCACCAAGATATTCACCCCATTAATTTTCTTTTGTCACTACAGCAACATTATCGCTACTCAATCCTACATACTGATGCATCCTGGATGACCCTCCTTCTATCCTCCACTGCATCCCTCACTCTCTCTCCTTGGTTGTCACTTCCTCCTACCATCTACCTCTGACTTGCTGTACTGTACACTCTTTACACCCATCTTTCACTTCCTATTCTCTTTACATGTCCCTTAACACTTGAGTAGACTACTTCACTCTCTGTTACCACTTTCTTTTCTACTACTCCATATTTCTGTATTTCTACCCACTACTTCTTAGCCCCTTGCGCATAAGACGGTGTAACATTGACCAAATAAAATCCTAAAAGTGGCATCTCCATCATGAGAAGTTAATGTACCAGCCAAATAATGAAAAAATACTTGATAATTTTTCCATTAATTCTATTATAAACATGAACCACACTCCAATCCATTGTAATTATAGAGAGCATATCAGTTCTAAATCATCAGTCAGGGGTAAATGTATCAAGGTAGCCAAGAGGGACTGGCGGGAGTGATAGTAACTCTCACCTGAGGTAGATGAAGGTGTTGTTTCCAGTTGGGTTGACGAGTCACTGCTCTTAGATGAGGCCGACGACGGTGAACAGCACGAAAATGAAGACGAGTCGACCGTTATTGTACTCCTGTGGACGAGGAACAAATGAACTATACGAACTAACTAAACAGACACTCGATGATATTTTAAGTAAATTTTAAGTCCTCTAAAAATTCCTAAATTACATAAGAGAAAAGACCGTCATTACTCACATACCCTGGGAGTCACATCAGCCACATAGGATCAGTGAGTGAGTGTTCCTCAAACTATAACACACAAACACTTTATAGATCCAGGATAGTTGTATAAGAATACAGATTATGACTGGAACCTCACACAAAAAAGTACTTGAGGACTGATACAAGTGGGTATACATTTACCTATTCTTCATCCTGTTTTAATGGAATCGGTACACAAACAAACTTTTAATATCGGTGAACTGTGATGGTAAAGTCTTTCTCGCACAACTACAAGAGAAAACGTGAAACAAATCCCCTCACGCACTGAACTATGTGACGTGTATTACCTCATAGACGACATGGATTGTGAGGTGGAAGTTCTTGAAGCGCCGGTTGATATAGACTGGTCATAGATCTGGTCCTCTTCCCCAGGGATCTCCGATGTTATCCGCGAAGAGCTTAAGGATGTGGCTGATCGCTGCATACGTCTGGAGATTATTTTTTTTTAATTATTCAGTATAAAACTTGAAATATTTCCATGTATAAAACTTGAAATATTTCCATGTATAAAAGTTTCAGATTTTTCATGTATTAAACCTTCAACTACAATGAAATACTGTAATATTTTCCCCAAAAAATCATAAACCTACTGTATACTGCTTTAAGTGTTGGGCATAGTACCTGATAAACCATTTAACCTTTAATGTATCATATAACAAATTCTTGAATAAAATATAACCTACACCAAAAAGCTTCCCATGCAACTTATCAACTTTTTCTACATGATCTGTACTCTTGGGAAAATATCATAATTCCGTACTCTTCGGATATCAAGATCACGCCATGGCTGTATTAGTGGGAGAATTTTTTGTACGATCACAAGTAAACGCAAAATACTTTCCACCGCAAGAGATAAAACCTGTATTGTAATATACCACACTTACACATGGTCATTGTCGTTCCTGTTGCCCTGTGGAGTGAAGGAAAGCGACCGTCTGGTACACTGCATTGCATTCTCATAAACAAAACTATGTGAGGCTGTCGATATAGAGGTGTCGCTCTCACTATACTCGGTGATGTACTTCTTGGGGTGACACTCATCGTATGCTGTTGTGTAAGAGAGCATACTTCAGTCAGGATCTCAATATAATAACCACAAACATACAATAAGCATTTGATCACTGAAGAGGCTTACATCCATTAACATTTCCACGTACACAGCGAGTCTTGATCCAACACGGCCAATAGCTGCTCCTCTGAATGACTTTAATGTTTATCTTCTACAGATCTACGCCATAACTCTCGATCTCATATGGGGATCCACCTCGCCTCCTTCAATTATTATCTGATACATTTATATTCCTATATTGTTTAAAGAACCAAATTTTATAACATTGTACTTTATATGTAGATATAAACTGGTACTAAAATCTCCAAACAAAGGATGAAAATAACTCTTCCTTCATCATTCAGTACATGTTTCACCATAACTTTCATTCATTCATTCATTTCACCTCATCTCTACAAGACAGTGAAATTCCTCCATATGAGAAAAGACAACTATGTTACTCTTCTCTCTCTCTAAAATAAATGAATGAGAGAGAGAGAGATAGAGAGTGTGATGACTGCCACCACTACTACAGGAGGAACTTGAAGACAACAGCACAGTACTCACAACATCTGACGACCTCATGGAACACGTAATCCTCGATATCGCAGTTCATCTGAGTCCAACGATGAGATTCCACTCCCTCCATGGTCGTGCGAGATTTGGGCTCCTTCTGAAGCATCCCCGTCAGGAGGTCACACAAGTCTGGAGGGGAGGAGCGGTTAGAACACGACCAGGGACTTGTCAGGAGCTTGGAAAATTTCATCAACATTCATCTTCCAATTCTTTCATATGGATTAAAAAATTCAAGAGTTTTAGAATAGTGGTTGATGAAGATTGAAAGGTGTTTTAGATAGTGGTTGATGAAGATTGAAAGGTGTTTTAGAATAGTGATAGATGAAGATTGAAAGTAGAAAAGATAGATAGTTTGAGAGGCAATATGTGTGAGTGATCAAGAAGCCTCTGAAGAGTTGACAAGATAAAAGTGTATTAAGATGGAAGGAACTCATGGAGTACTGTACAAGTTTAGGTGAGATAATGATTAGAAAAGATTAACGACATTAAGACAACAAACAGGAGACAGAGAGAATGACCCAAGACCCATGAAAAAGATGTTTAGAATACACAGATGACTTTATGAGGTGAAGAAAAGTAGTAATAGAGACCGTACCTTGTTTAGATTACACAAATGACTTTATGAGGTGAAGAAAAGTAACAGACATTCAACATTATCTGTCTATTTGTACGTAGGTTGACAACTAAACACACACACACTCGCCTATTGATGACTCACCGTGGGAATGTACGATCGGGAACATTAGGTCGCCTTTAATAGTTTCATCCACATCATAGAAGGGGTTCTCTCCATACATCAGGGTGTAGAGGGTGACTCCCAGCGACCAAACCTCTAACTCAAACCCGCTATATCTGTCGGAGAGAGAATGTGTCAAGAAATAGAATTGATTGATTGTGGTAATTACATACCCAGCGACGTAACAGCTTATAACCCCAGCCATCTTTAAGTAAGATTCTAATACATTTGGTGGCGCGATGATCTAAGTACAGGGTGCCTCCCGAGTTATACACCGCAGGAATCGTAATAAACCAATGAACATGGCGGAGAAATATGACACTCGAGGAAAGAGTCAGTTTAATATTCATGCATGGAGAGCCAAATGCTATGTGCCAATTACTGTAGTTGCAAAGAATCTAACTGACAAAAAGCACAATATGTTCTACCAAGATCATCCAAGAATCACTGAATAATTAAAGCAGAACTTCACATCTGAGTACAACAAGGTTATCAAATACATGCTGATGAGAGTTAAAGCATCATGTTCACATAGAAAGTTTCAACTCTCCTTAGCAAGATGCACACAGTAACTTACTTGTTTCCTTTGAGCACCTCAGGACTACAGTACTCCACAGTACCAGCAAACTGAGAGAACAGTTTACCAGGTTTGGTAAAAGCTGATGAACCGAAGTCAATTAATTTGACTTGGAACTTATTATTCAGTATAACGTTCTCATCTTTGACATCACGATGGATGATGTTCAGTGAGTGAAGATACACCAGAGCCGAGACAATCTGTTGACAGGTGAGAGAACACAGGAGTTAAGTGACACATCAACCAGGCTCCTGCAAGGTGTAGATGACCACCACCATGACTATGATAAAAGAAAACATATGGTTGATTTTAGATTAATATTCCCTTAATTAGTCAAAGTATGAGATTATGTATAGTGTTACAGGTACCATTAGTATTATACACATATACAAAGACAGGGTAGCACGCAGGTGACACACTAACTGACCTGTCTGAAGATGTAGGCAGCCAGAGCTTCATCCAGAAGTGGGTTGCGGTCAATGAACTCAAAGAGGTCCATGCCAGCACCCCACTTCTCCATCACCAGTTGGAAGTAATCATCATTCTCAAACATATCAAACACAGACACCTGCAAGAAAGGCCACAGACACACATGATCATTCCTCTTGGAACAATTATCACAACCTTCCCTTCGTGCACTGTCATTTGTTCTCTCTTAACTAATGTAACAAACCTGTTCTTCTGGCTACTGAATTATTAACCACAAACCTATTGATAATACCTCCAATTATCTCCAAACTGAGCTATGAGAAGCTTATGAGTAACAGGTATAATTTTCACTTAGTCGTTAGAAATCTAAACTCTTCAGCAATTCTTTGAAGCCCAGTCAACACACCACACCAACTCACAATATTGGGATGGTCAAGAGTCATAAGGAGTGAAACTTCCAAAGGCACTCGTCTACGCAGGAGGAGGTCATCAACCCAGCTGTCTTGGTAAACCTTCACCTTCTTGATAAATTTAGTCACCACCTGAAAATCAATGGAACATTAGTTTACATTAAAACAATATGACCAAGACTTTCACTGTTACTCCTGTAGACATATTATTACTGTTTAGAGACCAAGCCTAAGTCTCGGCAAAGAAACTCCCCGGAAATAAGCACCTTACTATATACCATTGTTGTATATCTACACTGTCTAGGTACATAGGAAACTGTATACTCCAATGTCTTACATGCAGTGTATACCTACAGTCTCTATATTATTGCTGAACTGTTTAACTACATAGTTTATATACATGCTCATCCAATTGTAAACCTGTATGACAATTTTACTGAAGAATCATTATTATTATCCCCAAGACCTACCAGAAGACCATCATTATTACGGTAGCTCATCTTAACACAACCAAATGCTCCTTTGCCAATTTGCCTGAGGACTGTGTAGTGATCACAGAAGTCTCCCGCCACGAGCTGTTCTTCTCCCTCATCTGGGCACTAGAACAAACACGCAATAGTTGTATAAATTATCTCTGAGTAAACTACAATATACTGAACAACATGTGGTCTCATAAACAAATATACAGCAATAACTAATATTTAAACTCTTTTACTATGGGACCGACACTAATATTTTATTTGGCTAACTCCAGATGATTTTATTCAGCTCAGGGGACCCCATACACAAGGCGTTAAATATCAATGCTCAGTTAAAGGCTCCATAATTTAACTGGATTAGAAGAAGTCCTCTATTAATGACTAAAATATATTCTGCAAGTCTGAAAACCAAAAATATTCATGAGTCAATCTACCTTCAGGTCCTGTACTAAACTTTAACCTTTAAGAATGAGACTAGACCCATCACTTTTTAGGGCAACATAAGGAGTATGAACCAGTACTCAACAGCATGGAAGAGGGAGTGACAAGCCCACTCATTAGTATATAAAACACATACACTTGATGATGTATCCCTGTTCCCTCTCCTCGAGTGGTTGAGGGAGTATTCTGCCCCAGAGCTCCCGTCGGTGCTGGTCTGGCTGGTTTCTACGTCGTCGTCTGATGAGGAGTCCGAGTCCACATCAAGATCAATGACCTCCTTCTGGGCTTGGGATTTGATGGCCTGTAAGATAAATATTTGTGTCTTTAGGTTTTGATAGATTGTATGATTTATTATTGTATTTTTGTGGGTTTTGAGATAAATATTAATGTATTGTGTTAGGTTTTGACATACTGTAAGATGACCTATAAAATATTATCTTCTTTAATGTTATGTCACTAATAAACATCTTTTGGGAGGTACAGTAATTCCAGTCGTGAAAGAGTTCAAAATCATTTCCGAGTAAAGTTTAAAAAAGGGCCAAAGTTTCTACTTGTTTTACTCACGTGGCCAAGAGACATTTCTGCCGTCTCGCTAAATGTAGACGCTAAAGTAAGGTTAGTGTTGGACCTGAGACCCTCCCCCGGCTCCTCTGGGTCCCGCAAGATCCACACACAGTAATGGGGTGTGCCGTTAAGCTCAACCCGACGGATCTGGTAGATGATTACTGTGAATAGACCAAAAATTTATCATCGGAAACATTCTCAAGCGTACAATGATTAAGAATTGTGTTAAGATACCTCATCACAACAATTATACATCATATACGTATATATTTTTCTTTTAGACAAGACATCAAAATAATTATTAGAAACATTAATGATAAATATAAAAATATAATTACAGCAACAGAGGCATAAAATAGTCACAAAAATAATCTCCACAACGTACCGAGATCAGATCCATCTTTATGTTTGCCGACCCCAAAGAAACTGCCTTCCTCTATGGTTGGTACATGACTCTGAGTCTGGTGTTTATTCCGATCTAAAGCAGGAGTTGACGTGACGATATCTTCAGACAGCATCTCTTGGGTCAGGTCTGGGCAGCCTCCACTTTGTATCTAAAAATATAAAGACAAATGAAATGTTTGGAGTATATTCATCTGTTATTACAATTACTTATTATTTTCTACATTTGTGTTGCATTTCCCTCCCCCATCATCCTTTCCTCTCCTTGATCCCTTCACTCCAGGGACGCCACTTTCGATGTTTTATTCGGCTAATGCCAGACGATTTTATTCAGCTCAGAGGGAACCCCATACACAATCAATGTATGTATGTATGTATGTATGTATGTATGTATGTATGTATGTATGTATGTATGTATGTATGCATGCATGTATGTACTGTATCTATGTACGTATCTATCGACCTCCTCACCTTGGCAAGACTTCTATTGAATGTGTTGGTCTGGTCCTGAACTTGTCTCGCCTTGCTGGGACTACTCTGGATGCTCGAGTTGCTCGTCTGATTTGTGCCATTCTGAAACCCATTAATTATGTCTTTAAAAACCAAGCAAAGAATTCTGAAACCCAATCAATAATCAAGTCCTTAAACCAAGCAAAAAAAATCAAGAATATTGTTGGCTAGTCCATCTAGGTAAGACCAGAAGGGAACAGAACTAAGCCACTGTTCTATCTAAACTTTATTGAGGTCTTCTCTGGACACATTCACACAGCCTTCTCTCTTGGCTCTCTGATGTACTATCCTTCTAATGCTCTGATAGTTTAAGGTCTCTGTCTGTTATTTATCTTATATCTTTTAATCATCTCTCTACATCACCTCACACTAACTACATACCACTTCATACACACATCATGCTACATCACACTCACCACCACATCATACTACCTGCACACACACATACCACATCTTACTCTTACCTGCTGACTGAGGTTGAGAACATTGATGGAGTTGGTAATATCCCTCATGGCGTTGTTTGACTGAGTGGTGTTTTGACTGTTGTCTACCGGCCCCGTCATATTTCCCGTCGAGTTAAGTGTCGACCCGAACAGAGAACCTTGAAGTTTACTGAAAGAGAAACAAAATAATACCACAACTACCAATGGCTGCTAATGACACAATCAATAAATATATTTGTGTTTAATTTCTCCTCTTATACTAAAAACTAAGTAATTATTAAGATTTTCTTCAGCTCTCTATTTGGTATATTAAAGTGAGGAACCTAAAAAAGTTGGACAATTTAATGAAATCATAAGAGTTATAATTGTCAGGAATAATCAAGATTTTTTTTTAAATTTAAATTTGGAACAATTACAAGTTATAGACAAAATCACAAGATTATTCTCCTGTTTGATATTAATATACAGACTTACTAAACTAGTTCCATATACTGTATAGCTTTTGTTAGATTCTCAGACTAATATTAAGATACAGACCTATTAAAACTTATTCCATATGGACCTTTTGTTAGATTCCCAGACTAGAATATTGTGATAACTGAGAGTGAAGTGAGGCTCACCTGTCTGTAGCAATAAACCCCCTGTTGGGCGTGGCTATGGATGAAGGGTCAGACATGAGCGTCGTGATCTCCCCGTTGGGTAAAGACTTCTTCATCTGGCTCCTATGAACACCTGCATCCTGTATATGAAAAAAGTCACAAGTATTAAAAAAAAGTCTTAATTGCTGGCTATTGTTTATATCACAAACTACTGTTAATAAAAGATTCACAGGTAATAATAACTACTTTCTACAGACAGACTTTTGCGTAAACTATCTCGGACGTTACTTTGCTGTTCTCCTTCTGATTCTCCTCTTCGTTATCACTGATGGTCGATTCTGAGTCAGAGTCGAAGGACGGATTGTTCATTTTCTGGATTAAGGCGACGTCATCGAAGAACGTTGGTATGAGATGGGTGATGTCCTGTAAACACAAGTAACTAAGTTCTACTCTTGAAGATTTAGCTTATAATATTCTAGGATTGTACGAAGGATATTTATGATAAAGAAATTAAATTGTTTAGAGTGGAAAATATTACTATAAAACTAATCATTTAATACAGTACATACACACACAAGCACATACAATTCACTCATTCTCACACACACACAACTCACTCACAAACTCAACTAACACACATACACCACACAAGACACACCTTTCCCACCCACACTCAACACAACACAACAATTCATCACAAGACCTTCGAGGGAACATTAATCCTCACCCTCCCTTCCAGTTCCTTCTTGCCATAACCAAACAACAGCCGGGTGAAGTTATAATTGTAGTCGATGATCTTTCCGCACCCATCCAGCACCACCAAGCCGCTGATGTTAGAGAAGACCTGGAAAAACAATAACAATTAAACACCCACGACATGCGAAAGATTACAGACAAAAAGCATTACTGTGTTACTTCACGAGGAAAACACGCCTTCTATAGTTAAATAAACAACAAGGTATAAGTCTTACCCATATTTCAAGGTCAAAAACTAATTTCTTCAACACTTTGTCATTTGGTGTCATGTTGCAGGAGAAGTGTACACAGAGTGGGAATGTTGCACAGTCAACCGTCTGCCCGGTGCACTGTTGCTTCTCTACGTCCTGTTGGGGAAATAAAGAAATAATTTATATATGGAAAAGAATTATATGGTCTTTGATACAGCTGTCAAAGTGCACTGCTAGAAGAAGAAGCGGCAGCAAAATAAAAAAAAGAAAGAAAAGAATAGGAAGAAACAGAAGAGGAAGAAAAGAGAAAAAGAAAAGAAATAAGAAGAAATAGTACAGCACCATTAAACTAAACCAACCAATGTACCTTAAGTATTTCCTGAGACTTGGGCACCTGCAGGGCTGGGATGAGGTCACGAACGTTAAATTTGGTGAGCTCACTGTTGTCGTCGTACCCAAACAAGGCATTAAAAGAAGAGTCGTGCTTCAAGATACGTCCCGTCTCGTCTACTGAGGCCTGAAAGATGATGGTTGTATTAGTTATATCAATGTTAATATACAGACAGACAGAGTGAGAGAGAAAAATAGTAAAAGAAAAAGGGAGATAGCTTACATTTAATAATCTTTTTCAAGTGTGTTAATTTCAGAATACATTATAAAAATCAGTTAAAAAACAAAATTAACACTCAAACACTAAACTGAGAATATAACATAAAGATTAATGAATAAATGACTGTAATGCAAGAGATCCTTAAGTGACATAAACATCTACTATAGAATCTAAGTGATATTACAGCAGGAAACACTATCCTTCCTACATGTTTAACTCACCAATCACCACACAACCCAAACACTACTACATACCCTCGCTACAGTGATGTTCACCGGCTCAAGAATGGCAATCCACCTCTGGTCTTCATCTGGTTCTTGTGGAAGACCTTTCAACCAGAGGGAGCAGGGGAGAGTGCCATTGTCCAGGGTGTCGACATTTACCTTGAAGGAGAGAATTGATTGATTGGGTAAAATATCTAGCGTCTTAACCTATGGTCATCTCATGCTGAAGGAGAGAAAATAGGCCACAAAAACAATGAAAAGTACCTAATTTGTCTTAATTTTTTACAAGTTTTCTTACAGGACACAGGAGTAAATAATATAACACACATGTCTACTTATTGTCCTTGCCTTCTCCTCTCACCTTCTACCTCTCCATCTTCCACACCTGTCCCCCAGACCCTTTCTTTGAGGCTTCTCCTTCCCTTGTCCCATACAGAAGTGGGAGAGGAGTCAAGATGAAAGACAAATACCGATGGAGTTTCTAATATTGCCACAAAGATCAACGTACCACTTTGCCACTGAAGAGCACCATGCCTTGACTGTCCAAGACGTCGGGGTCCGGCAAGGTACGCAAGGAACTCTCCGAACTGTCCGATTCCGTGTTGGGGGTCAGACTCGCCAGGGAGCCGAGTTTCTGCTGAGTTCTGGGATTTGCAATAAAGTCAGTCAACTTCATTTTACCACACAGTTCGTCTTCTGGGTGACCAAGAAGCAATGATGACATGTCATTTGCTGTCAAGATCTGGAAAAATGGAGAGTTAAATTATATGGGGCCTAAACGTCGCCCAGCCACACGCACTAGGGAACATTACACACTGTTTCTGACACTACTGCTGGGCTGGGAGGTACAGTATACTATCCATCCTTTCATGCACATGACAGTTTTCTTCACCGAGATGATGTGAAGCAAAATGCAATATCAAAAACACTGAAAAATGGGTTGGAATAAATTGAGCTAATGGGGGCAGAAAATGATGAAGTACAGGTAATCTAATAATAATATCAATGGTATAACAAGAGAGACAAAAGCAAGTGAGATAAAAAATAAATTATTCTGGGTGATATTCCCAAGAAAAAAATAATAATTACCTCATTTCTATCATTAAACCTCACAACTAATATGTATACAATCTTTCTTTTGGTCTTCCTATACAATTACACAAATTGTTCACATTCATTAATTTCCATTCACAATCAACACCAGACACCAAGCTCCTAATACTGTCATTACCTGGAAAAAAATTATAATATACCTGTACTTGTATCTATATATGTGTCAAGTCTCTGAATCTGGGAACATTGTCTCAAATGGTTGGAATTCCTTGATCAATTTCTCATCACTGGAGGTTTTTATACAAGATCTCTCCCCAAAAGTAATTGATCTTGTCTTCGTTCTCTGGTTTAGCTTTGTCATTTTCCCTATTTTTATTATCACTTTATGTATATGCATCACACACACACATATATATATATAAACACAACACACACAAACAGACAAACACATAGTCCATCTTCTTTCCTTTATCTCTCATTCCAGCTCTTACCCATTCATCTTTCCCTCCCTTGTCCGGTTCCCTTCCCTCATAAACCAAACACCCCAATCTTCCCTCTTATCAATTCCACCAATTAAGTATTTTATCTAACCCATTAAACAGATTTTTAACTTTTACATTACCACTGATATAAATAAAACATCTATGGACACCACTGGTTAACATTAGACAGGAATTCTGAAGTTGTACAATATGACAGGTGGACTTCAAAACAGTATACCCAATGTGTTGTGAAGGTGCGTTTATGTTCCTCTTTACATGGGAAGGAGCTACAAGGCTTATCATACACTTGAAGCTGCAGTCATATCCTACAGATGTTCCTAATATTTACTCGGACTCTCATCAAGAAAATCATACCCGTTTTAGGAGTCTATTAGAAATCATTCACCTGTCACAAGAGGAAGTTATTATTGTGAAATGGGCAGCTCACACCTGGTCTAATGAAAATGGCCAACTTGTTCCCACCACTTGAAGTAATATGGATGAGGAACAATTCAACAAACAGACGCTACAACTATGATCGGAGGGGACAAGATATCATGAAACTCCCATGCAGAAATTTATATTCCACAATCTGCAAGGTGCTGTGATTGACACTAACTCTACAGGACTAATTCTATGGTGTCTAATAGTTACAGCCAAAACACTTAACAAGAAATATGTCACAGAAACACTGCAGGAAACATTCTGATCTGTGTTCAAGTGTTTTGTTTGTACTATTATAGGGGGAAGACTCACGATATTGCTAAACCATGTGTAGGAATGACACGAGGATACATTACCTGAATCACGATCCTGTTTCAGCGGGCAATAAGCATGGGGTACAAAAGACAACATTCAGTCCTTGCAAATAAATAACATTACTTGTGGCACATGGATAAGCATTAGTACCTGGGAGGGTTTAATTGTTTTTCTTTTTGGGGGAAAATCTTTTGTGTTTCTTTATTCCATAGACAGTTAGAAGCTATTGTTAAGGGGAGGTTGACAGCTCTCTGGTAAAATGTTTTCATCATATACGGGAACTTTTAACCACTGATGCGTGGGAAAAATAATAATATAAAGGTGGACAGGGACACCATGGTCGGGGGTGGGGGGGGGAGGACACTTAGTAGGTGCAGGTCTGATGCCAGGCAGTTTTGACGTCTGATCTCTCTTACGGCCGGGGAAAAAAAGGACACCATCCCACCACAGTGAGCCATAACAAACAAATATCAGCTTTATAACAGGAAATAATAATGTTTTAAAAGATATAACATAATAAAATAAAAAGCCTGGGAATAAAATATAAGAGGCACCTTAAAGATTACAATGGAGTGAGGTGTTAAATGAAGGGGCTAATTGCCACTTACCCTTGAACTGGAATCAACAGTAAGGACAGCTTTGTTTGGATTGACAATAGTGGTTGGGAAAACGGTCCCACAGTTCCCACCACCCACAAAGTTACGGAACAACCAATGGCCGCAGGGGATGTTTTCAGAGGTGCCGAATGACCCCTTGGACAGCCCCGGAGAGAAGCTGAAGCTGTGGAGACCATTGCCTGAAGGACCAAGAGACTGGGTTAAACACGTGGGAAAAAATAATTTACCTTATCAACATCGACTGAGCAGAGTAATGTATAGTACACATCACAAGGCCATAAAAAGATGATCGACAGTACAGTATTTACCTAAACAGTACAATAAACCATGAACATTTTCTTTTAATTGTTTCCCAAGTAAAATATTTCACACTACAAGTCTCTCTATCAAAAAGTCACTTTCCATCCATGACTCACAGTATACTTTGACTGACTAAAGCCGAGTCACTGAGAATGTGAGTCACATTCCTGTGTTTACTCTCAGAATAATGATTAGCCAATGAAAACACACATCATGTACCTGTGTTGTCATCCAATAGAAAATCAGACCTTACATGCTGAAGGTGACTTTCAACATGAAAACAAAGATGTGATGAACAATCTAAACTTACTATACAGTAATTTACTGTAGATTGTTCTTTCATCACATCATACAAAGTTTAACAGTACATTCTTTACTACAAAATAATCTTCCCGTATTTGCCTATTTTCTTTCTCATATAAACACTGTAAATAAATCAGACTTGACAACAACAACAACAAGAACCAAACACAATAAATCCTGACAGTCACGGAGGCACACGTGTAGGAGTGGTATCAGCTATGCGAGGTGTTTGACAATGCATTCTTAATTATATCCGTCATGTTAAATATAACTCTCTTGAAATAATAATGCATTATAAATAAAAACACAAAGGTAATTAGACATCACCACAAGCAAGAAAATTACTCATTAGGGTTAGAGATAATGGGGAGGTGGGAGGTGGGGGGTGAGGAGGGGGAGGTGGGGGTGAGGAGGGGGGTGTATGTGTGTTTTATCTTGTCACCTAAATACATAACACTGATATTAATTAGACTTAAGTACAACAGTATAACATGTAACATAACAACTACACCCACAACACAATGAAGCTCCCATCTGATACATTAGACAAAGTTACAACAGTACAGTACAAGACTAAACCCAAAATACTCTGTACAGTATCTGGAGAGAGAACCCTACCTGGCATAACATTCAAGCGAGGAGCTGAGGCCGCATGCTGCAACCTGGACTCGGATAAACAGGAACGGGGCATGTGAGAAAAGCTAGCATTGCCTCCGAGTGGTGAGTCCTTGACGTTTCTGAAAATTGACAAACTGATTAAAAAAATAAATAAATAACTAAAATGAACTAAAAAAAATTATATCACATGTATTTTTCAGGTTTATTAATAACTTAAAAACACCACTTCAGCATGATGGGGGGGGGGGGGTTACAAATAGCAAAATAGTAATAACACAGTACTGTACCACCCGCTGTGCTCACCTGAACCTGTCGAGGGGAGAGGGGTAACCTGGGCTACCGAATTTTGTGTTTTTAACCCCGAGGGAATATGTGGTGCGTCGCTTCCATGGCAGGAGGCCCTGAGGAGGAAGATATACATACATAAAACAAAACATACACTATACATAAAACAAATATACACTACCATACATACAATATTCATAAATGGCAACAAAACTTTAAAATGGTCGTCTTAACCCCATAAACGCATCATACATAAAACAGTCATAATTATATCATAGAAAACAATATAAAAAATAAATAAAACAGCCAAAATCATGTCTGAGGGTTGGCGACTACAGCCCTCCACCTCAAATATTTTCCGTCAGTTTACCAGTCCTTTCTCACCTCTCTCTCGTTTAATATATCATCCACCCCATACTCTTGTCTTCCCCCATTTTTACCCATTAATACAGCACCCTTACCAATATTCCCCCAATCCCTAATTATACGACCCAAGTTTCCCATTTTTGTTACTACAGGTACAACACCAACCTTTCCCACACACATACCAGACCACAACACTGAGACACACTAAGATACCAACTCTACTAACACAATATGCCAACGGATACCAACTATCAACACAAGCTCGCCATTTGTCTACCCCCTGTGACCTACAAACATTTGGTCATGTTCTCACGTACACATGATGAACGTTTCCTGTATGATATAAACACACATGTTCTTGGAGTTTTTGAGGATGTAAACAATAACAGTAGATGTTTCTTTTGCCATTTATTTAAAGTTTCGGGTTATTAATTACAGGTTATTTTTGTTGTTATTTTCATCTCGAATTTTGTTGTATTTCCTCGTTGTTGTTGTTTTTGTTGTATATTTATTAGTCTTGATACGTGTGTTGGTAATATAAACAAGGCGTGTATGGCGTTAATTATTGTTAATGTATTAGTGTGGGAATCATTTTTTTACATCACACGTGCTGGTGATCGGCTAATGCTGGGTTAAGTGGAGCGACAGGTGACAGCCAGGTAGGTATTATTAACGCGGGAATACCACAGTGGAATGAGATCAACATCATCCCAAAAAAGTTAAACCACCATCCCAAAAAAGTTAAACCATCATCCCAAAAAAGTTAAACCACCATTCCAAAAGAGTTAAAACCATCATCCCAAAAGTTAAACCATCATCCCAAAAGAGTTAAAACCATCATCCCAAAAAAGTTAAACCACCATCCCAAAAAAGTTAAACCACCATCCCAAAAAAAGTTAAACCACCATCCCAAAAAAGTTAAACCATCATCCCAAAAAAAGTTAAACCACCATCCCAAAAAAGTTAAACCATCATCCCAAAAAAATTAAAGCCAACATCTCAAAAGAGTTAAACCACAACCACATAAGCGCCAAGGTCTTACAGTTCTCAACCCATAATCTTCACAGAGAAACATAAAACTATTCACGGTGTTCTGTTGGGGCCGTCTCCTGTATACTGCTGTTGTTGTATGCTGTTCTTGTTGTATGCTGTTCTTGTTGTATGCTGTTCTTGCTGTATACTGCTGCTGTTGTATGCTGTTCTTGCTGTATACTGCTGTTGTTGTATGCTGTTCTTGCTGTATACTGCTGCTGTTGTATGCTGTTCTTGCTGTATACTACTGCTGTTGTATACTGTACTGCTGTATCTGCTGTTGTTGTATGCTATTTCTTGCTGTATACTGCTGCTGTTGTATGCTGTTCTTGCTGTATACTGCTGTTGTTGTATGCTGTTCTTGCTATATACTGCTGCTGTTGTATGCTGTTCTTGCTGTATACTGCTGTTGTTGTATGCTGTTCTTGCTGTATACTGCTGCTGTTGTATGCTGTTCTTGCTGTATACTGCTGTTGTTGTATGCTGCCCCCTCCCTCCCCACTATACAGACTTCATACACTTCATATACACCACAAGTTTTTGTATTTTATCCAGTAAATATTATTGTATGATTCTTTGGTCAGCTAGTTAAGGTTAGGTTAGGTTTATATATCACGGTAACACCAGTCATTATATCACGGGTAACACCAGTCATTATATCACGGTAACCCCAGTCATTATATCACGGTAACACCAGTCATTATATCAGGGTAACACCAGTCATTATATCAGGGTAACACCAGTCATTATATCAGGGTAACACCAGTCATTATATCACGGTAACACCAGTCATTATACCAGGGTAACACCAGTCATTATATCACGGTAACCCCAGTCATTATATCACGGTAACGCCAGTCATTATATCACGGTAACCCCAGTCATTATATCACGGTAACACCAGTCATTATATCACGGTAACCCCAGTCATTATATCACGGTAACGCCAGTCATTATATCACGGTAACACCAGTCATTATATCACGGTAACCCCAGTCATTATATCACGGTAACGCCAGTCATTATATCACGGTAACACCAGTCATTATATCACGGTAACACCAGTCATTATATCATGGTGACGATTCAGTTGTTGGGGGAGAGTAACGTGTAAGTGAAGGACACTGGTGACATTATCACACTAAAAGCATCCTGTATGATAGTAACGGACCACTACCTCTCATTGGTCAACACATGGGCTGTAATTGGTCGAAATAGTCACGTGGGGAGCTGTGATTGGTTGATTAATTAGTGACGTGGGGGAGATGATGTTGTGATTGATTGATTAATTAGTGACGTGATGAGGAGATGTTTGTGATTGGTTGATTAATTAGTGACGTGGGGAGGAGATGTTGTGATTGGTTGATTAATTAGTGACGTGTGAAGCGATGTTTTATGATTGGTTGAATGGATCACGTGACAAACAGATCTCAAGTAACAGTACCGACAGACACAAGTAACAGTTCCGACAGACCGGCCAGCACGCTCGTTGCGGTATTTGACTGGACGGCGGATAACGGAACCAAGCCAGTCATTACGACAGTCTATATATCTGCATGACTTACCTTTTAACTGTCATATGCCAGTCAACCTGTCCTAATTAATCCTCACGACACATGTGACTGAAAACGAACCCAAACCCTAATTTGTAAGTGAACCCCTGAATGACCTAAGACGAACCCAAGTCTCATAACACCAAACTCTGAACCCCTGAAATGACCTAAAAAACAACTTAATAACCTTAACTATATAACTTTTGAACTAATTACCAAATTGGCTTACTCCTTACTCTCATTAATTGCCTCATTTGCTTCTTCCTCATTAGTGGCTTCATTACGCCCACTTGTAAATCATTGCTTCATCTGCTCAATCATTGCCTCATTTGCTTCAACTCCTAAATCACCCCCCCCCATTGCTTCATCTGCTCAATCATTGCCTCATTTGCTTCTCCCTGATGTGACTAATTTGCCTCACTGGGCTCTTCTCCCCCATTAAACTCTCCGGGAGAATGAGACAACTTGAGATATTATATTACTGTATATAATTATAGTACAGTCAATTGGTCTAACTTTTGCTGTGATTAAGATGAGCTAACACCCCCTCTCCCCCTTTCTCTCCCTTTGTCTCTCTCCCTTCCCCCGTCTTTGTCTCCCTTCCTCCGTCTTTGTCTCTCCTCTTCCCTTCTCCCTTCTCTCTCCCTCGCTTTACCAACACACATATATAACAGGTGCGAGAAAGAAGGTTCCTGTAGTCTTTCTAACACTCACCTGCCAAATCTAATTAGAGTTTTTTCAGGTGCCCAGATCAGGTGTTTAAGTTCCTATTGTCAATATTTGAGTAAAGATAAAGTGTTTTTGTCTCTCGAAACACTTTTATCTGACGAGGAAGTGTCTAATTCTCCTTCAAGTGTGAGTAAGTGTCACGTTCACTAACACTGTGGTGGTACTGCCTGTCAAATCACTTACGGGAGGAAAGTGTCAAAAGGTAAGTGTCATACCCGGCAACACGACACAGCGCCAACACTTTTTTTTTTAGACCATCAGTAAGATTTCAACTGTACACTTTAGCACTTGGGGCGTCGGGATATAGATTAAGTGTCACCTCATAACATCAAAGGCACTTGCGAGTCACACGATTATACACTTAACACTTAGAAGCATGAGAAAGTGTTTAAGTCACTGAAACGCTTGAGGGAAAGTGTTTAACAGTCTCGTAATTTGGTCGCCACTTTCACCTTAATTCCTGACACTTTATGACTTGTCGGATATTATAAATCTTCCAGCACTTTAATCAGATCAAGTGGTATAGCTCCTTCAACTTACAACACTTGCTTGGAAATAAGTGTTTTGTAAGTGTGTGTGTGTGTAAGTGGTCCCCTCAAAATTATACAACAATAGGTACAAAAATAAACACTTATTATACACTTGGAACACTTACAATAACTGTTACTAACACTTTCTACACTTGCTTCACGAGTCAACACTTCTTTTACCACCAACACTTACTTCAGGGGAAAAAGTACACCCTCTTAGTACTGTCTCCTCAGGTAAACACACACACACACCTGTCCGTCACTACAGGTGTGGAGCTAAGAGAGACACCGTCGCTCATGACCGTGACAGAACTGACAGTGAGCGGTTAGACAGTTACCGTCGCCACAACACTACAGATGGTGGGCGGTAGTGTGGGCGTGGCGTCAACAGCAGCGTGTGGGCGTGGTGGGAACAACAGCTTATGGGCGGTATAGAGCAGTGGCGTGGCGTGGCGTCCAGGGTGGCAGAGTGAAGTGTGGTGGGCGTGTAGAGCAGGAGGAGCGTCTGGCCAGCCGCAGGGAGGAGGAGGAGGTACCGGTGTGAGACAAAAGGCGGGTGAGCTTTCTGACCAACACCGGATACAAACTCGTATGTGTGGCCCACCCTCGTGTCTGACCCGTAACGTTACCTTACCTGGCCGTTTCCCGTAAGCTCTCTGTTTACCTGACATTTACCTGAAGCAGACTCAAGGAGCTCCTCCCTACCCCTACCCCGCCCCTCCCCCTGTAACAACCTATCGACGTCCAGCACAAGAACACACTGGTTTTATTTGGAAATGTTTCAGATGAATGTTGTTTGGTTCTCCCTAAACTGATTCTTCTGACCCAACCTTGTTTACAGTCTAGTGCCTTGATGTATAAACACTATTCTCCTTGTGTGTGTGTGTGTGTGTGTGTTATAAATGTCAAGGTGAAAACGAAGATCTCTTATTAAGGTCACCACATTACGACACCACACACACACACACACCTGACCGTTCTTAGTGATGTGAACAAGTCAGTGAAAGTGATAAAGAGAGGAGTGAGGGAGGAGACTAATTGTGTTACCTGTGGTGGTGAGTCTGGGGTGGGTGGGTGGGTGGGTGTGTGTGTGTGTGTGTGTGTGTGTTTTGGGCGCGCCAACTGTGTTATGTGATATCACTGCAATGTTTCCCTGCACCCTGGCCACACACACACACACACACACACACACACACACACACACAGCCATACAGACACACACAGCCATACAAACACATACTCACCCGACCACACAAAATACACCACCGTCTTTCAGAAATCCGACCAACGCGTTCACGACTACCGACCAACGCGACCCACTACCCTCCCTCCCACATAGATTTTGTTGCATTACAGAGACAAAACAAACTCACCCACCTAAAATTATTCCACCATTTTGAGTTACAGATTCAGAAATAAGAATCAGGTTACAGGTAGCGTTACATAACCTCTCTGTAACACAATAATAATACTGACACTGGGATAATGATTACAGGTAGAGGTACAGGTAAAGATATATAATTACAGGTAGAGGTACAGGTAAAGATATATAATTACAGGTAGAGATACAGGTGAGGATAATGTATACAAAGACAGGTACATATATAAGGATGGGGTTAGGTTAGGAGAAAGGGAGAGGGGAGGGGGGAGAGAAAGGGGTGAGGGGAAGGGGAGAGGAGAGGGGGGAAGGATGAAGGGGAGGGGGAAGAATGAGGGGGAGGGGGAAGGATGAAGGGGACTGGCTGGTATATACGTCAACAAAAACACAAAAAAATTCTCTCAGGTTAAAGATCATTAACCTGCTACACTCACACAAAACTCCTTCCAACAAGCCCAAAAAAAAACATTCCCTATAAAACACACACACGTCAACCTTCCTCACCCACCCCCCCCACACAAACACTACAGCAACACAAACTTGTAGCTAAACAAAAAACAAACATATTACGAACAAAAAAATATATACCCAAACACACACACACACACACACACCAGCTGCTGCAGTGTGTGTGTGTGTGTGTGTGTGAGATATACAGCCAGTGTTGTGTACCAGACTAAAAACATACATTCCTGTGTATGTTCCTATTATTTTTTTATATTTACGTATACATCCGTTTATTTCATTCTTTTTTTTATCATTTATTTATTCATATTTTAGGTTGAGAGAGAAAGAGAGATGAGAGAGATACTCACCAAGGTAGGAAGAGGTCTCTCCTTGACGAATGGTGACTGGGAGCTCACGTTGAGAGTATCAGTCCCCCTGTGAGAGATAAAAAACACATTAGTATCTCCAAACACGAGATATTAATCATCTCTCTACCTGCCCTAGAGATAAAGTCACCATCTCTCACCTGAAGAAAGAGATCAAATGGACGACATATCTCCCTAAAATAAACCTTCTATCTCTCAAGACTTACAATATTCTCTCCCTATCTCTCTACCTCAGCTAAATATACCTAATTATCTCTTCCGGTGGATTTAGATACGGTAGGGTGGTTAATTATGGTTAATCTACACGTCATCACCTGGTTAATCTACACGTCATCACCAGGTTAATCTACACGTCATCACCAGGTAACACAGGTATTTGATTTAAATAATTTGGGTCAGGCACGTGTTAAAGTACAAGACCTGGGAGGGGGGAGGAGGGGGGGAGAGGAGGGGGAGAAGGAATAGGGGGTGATAAGGGGAGGGGAGGGAGAGGAGCACGGGGGGGGGGCACTGACAAGCTTGGTGACACTGGTTTGTCATATGACAGTTTTGGCGCCATTAAACATCCGGTGCTCACACAGTCACGAGTGGCGTCTTCATGTAGGGAGTGTGTGTGTACATGATGGTCTGATACACACACACACAAACCATACATACACATAAATACGCACATACACTCACTCAAACTAAGTATATGTAACATCACTACATATGTACAAAGTTTAATATGTAACACCACATTAATTATTCAAGTGTACCTCATGACGCAGCGACTGATTTTAATATTCAATAAAAGTTAAGGTGCCGGTGTAATGCATGTAGATGAGAGAGAGAGAGAGAGAGAGAGAGAGAGAGAGAGACGGAAGAAGTAACTGCATATTGCCTGCCTCTAGTTGGCTATTTCCCCCCTCCCTCCCTTCTATCACCCTCCCTCCCCCTCCTACACCATCACCACCACCAACCCCGTGTAAATCTTCACCTTCCTCACTTCAGTATGTAACACAACACACACACACACACATAGGGTGTGTGTGTGTGTGTTGTGTGTGAACCAGGATACGTGCACAAGGTAAGTTCAGCAACACATTTCAACCTGTACACTCAATTGGTCAGCTGTTTGTCAGGCGGTGGTGGTGGTAGTGGTGGTGGTAGTGGTGGTGGTGGTGGTGGTAGGAGAGGACAGGACTCACAAAGTAGGTAAGTAGGTGGACAGTGAGATACTAACTTGAATAATAATATAATAATAAAAATAATAAGCTCCTCACACACCTTTGTACATTAACCTAATTAACAAGTTCACTTTAAACCCACTAACCGCGTCACGTAACTCCAAGACGGAAGGAGGGGAAGAGAGGGGAAAATGAGGGAGGGGGAAGAGAGGGGGAAGGGAAGGAGGGAACAGATACAATCAACAAGGCCCTCCACCACCTGGGGTACATCTTTAACAGGTGACCCACTTTACCTAAATATTATGAATCATGTCTTACCTGTGACCAACACCTCCCTCACTCTCTCTCCGTTTACCATTCCCCCCTCTCTCTCCCTCTCCTCTCAACACCACTCATAATTCATCCCCCCCCTCTCTCTCTCCTCTCAACACCACTCATAATTCATCCCCCACTCTCTCTCTCCTCTCAACACCACTCATAATTCATCCCCCACTCTCTTTCCTCCTCCTTTCTCTCTACACTTTCATTATTCATTCTCCTTTCTCTCCTCCTCTCACTCCTCCATCATTCATCCCCCTTCCCCCTCCCCGACTACCTCAGCCTCCCACAATTCTCAGGCCCCTCCCATAAACATGCGCCAGAGGAAGCATTCAATAGCGCCTGGCGATCGTATCCCACCCAGCAATAACCAACCAGTTTCGGAAAGGTTCGCCACACGCACGTTCGCTCGCCTTCTGCTTGTACTGGCGAAGATTATTTAGACAGACAGACAGACAGACAGAGGGAATAAGTGTGTACGGTGGAATGGTTCAAAGGTTCGAATCTTCAAAAAGGTTCAAATGTTCGAAGCCTCAAAATGGTTCAAAGGTTCAAATTATAGGGAGAGTAAATGCCTGGTTGAATCAAAATGGCGGCGAAAGTACACTGTGACTTCCTTATTTCTAACCAGTTACCAAGAGATAAAGTACCTATATTAAACAAAATGGCGACAATAGAGCACTGAGACTAGAGACAGGTGTGGTAGACAGGTGTGTTACGGAGACAGGTAGTGATAGGGAGTCAGGTGTACTAGAGACAGGCGTACAAGAGACAGGTAATCAAGGCAGGTAATGTAATTAAAGGTGACGTCCTCCCCCTTACCACACACCTGCAGGTCATAGATGGAAGGGTGACAGAGATGGGACAGGGCGTGACCACCTACAGGAGGAAGGGTGTGTGTGTGTGTGTGTGTGTGTTTCAGGAGTACACACACACCAACTGCTCCTTAACTAGTGGCTAATTACTTCACCCCCTAAGGTCTTGACTCTCTCCTCCTCCTCTTACCAAGTCTTCCTTACCACACCCTCCCTCTTCCTCCTAATCCCCCTGTCAATGTGAGAGAGAGAGCCAGCTGATTTTGTTGCCTCAGAAGCAGTCCTCTCACTTCATGCCCCCCCCTTGGATGCTTCCCCTGAGTAAAATGAACAAAAATCACCGTAGTTCCCACACTATTACCAGTCCCATAACAACCTTACCGCCAGTTTGTCCCCTCCTCTCTATCTCCTCTTACTGTCTCAGCTTCTCTCTTTCCTTCCTCTCTCCATATCTCCCTCTCTCCCTTCCCTACCTTTGTCTTCCTTCCTCCTTCATCTCATCCTTCCCCCCTTTTCTCTACCTCCTTCCCGTCTCTCTTCTCCGTCCGTGTCTCTCCCTATCTCAACCCCGCCCCCTCTTACAGTGTGTGTGTGCGTGGCCTCTCACCCTACTAATGGGCTGTCATGTTGGGCGTCAGTACTCGCCACGCCCCTCTACCCTGTTGCTACTTATCTACGGACCTTACACACACACACACACTTGCTACTAAAAGCCCTACACACACACACACATATATACATATATACACAGACAAGTACGAACCTACATGCACATCTGTTGCTACTAAAAACTCGTACACAGACACGCACATACATTCACACCAACACGAACACCTTGTTACTACCCAGCTCACGTAGCGCACACACACACACACACACACACACAAACACACACACACAGTCACTACAACAAAACAGACAGAATTACGAAGCACAACAACACTCCTAAAGTAATGAATGTTTGGTGTGTGTGTGTGTGTGTCTACCATGGCGCTGCAACACCTGTATGTCATTAGTATTGGATTTAATTAATGTATTGTTGCACCTGTATTAGTCCCCGTACCTGGTGTCTTTGTACCTGGGGCCACACAGGTACACCAGTCACCTCACACCTCTTAAGCCACGTTTCTGTCACCTACTATAAAACTTGTCTGGACAGTTTCCTTGAAGAGATGAAACACCACATTGATATTTCGTAGAACAGAGGTGTGTGTGTGTGTGTGTGTGTGTGTCCTTTGGTGATACATACAAAATGTTGTTCGGAATTGTTAAAGTTAGCTCACTATCGCCAAGCTGGTTTTAATGGAGGGAGAGAGAGAGAGAGAGAGTTTTAAGGTAAAATAAGCTGGCGTGTCTAATTTTCAGGCGAAATAAGCTGAATTTTCTAATTTTCAGTCTAATCTACAGGTACAAGCTGGGGTGTCTAATCTTCAGGTAACACCCAGAATATAATGATTAAGGGAAGGAGAGCTCATCTGGTGGCCCCCAAATTGATATGAGTTAATCCTTTATGCAAATTGAGTAAACTTGAGTAAAAGGAACATTTTTAAGTTAGTTGACACAATTCTCAGAAAAATTGGTGAAAAATTTGTTGCAGGAATTTAATATAACACTGGAAAGTTATTATTAAAGCATACATATTATTATTACTACTACTAGTTATTATTTTTACTATTATTATTATTATTGTTATTATTATCATTATCTCCAGCAATAGTGAGTTACGATACAGCGATAATCTCCGGCAGTGTTGGGTGGACTGTAATCGATTATCACTGTCGGGAAACGATTATTGCCCATAAGCACGAGAGGTGAGGGAGACGATTATACCTGGGGGGGGGGGTTACGTTAGTTAAGGCTAGGCTACGGGAGAAGTTAAGGGTAGGTTAGGTTGACAGGAAACAACTAACCACATAGTTAACGTAGAACCAATGAGAAAAACAGCTGCCCACCATAACCTAACGACCCAATAGTTAGGTTAAACCACTACACAAACCCTGAGTTGACGGAAATCCCATGTAAAGAACTATTGAGCACCCCTAGGCCAGCAGCCGATTAACAGGGGGGAGAGGAAAGGGATGGGAGAGGAGGGGAAGGGGAGGAGGGGAGGGGTAGAAGGTGGAGAGGGCTGAAGATGGGGAGGAGGGGGTGACGAGGTAGGGGAGAGGGACTCGAATGGTATCTTGGAGGTCGACCTTGATCAAGTGTGAGCCAGAATCAATACCCACGCGACCAAAGTGATTCCTGACCGTCTTGTACACACACACACACACCGTGACTACACGTATACACACACCACCACACACACACACATACCGTGACTACACGTATACACACACCACACACACCGTGACTACACACATATATGCACACACACACACACAGACACGTATGTACAGTATGTATGTATGTATTCATGTACAGTGTGTATGTATGATAAGAACACGATAACACGCCGTCAACCATCTTGTGAGGGAGGCGTGTGTCTTGCTGCCCCCCCCTCTCCTCACTGTGTCCTTCCTCCTGTCTCACGTTTAATAATAATGCTGATAATAATAATACCACCAAGAAAAAACAATAAAAATCGTAAAAATAACAATATTAATAACTACAACAATAATAGTGGTAATAGTTGTAGTAATATTAATAACTACAACAATAATAGTGGTAGTAGTTGTAGTAATAACAAAAAATCAACAAAAACAAGAGTAAAATCAACAAAAACAACAATACTAATAAAAAAACAATA